CTACTTCAATTTACGTCCCTAACATTAACATTTCAATATCATAGTCCCAAACATTATGTTTTCAAACTTTTTTCGTCCCATTTTACTGTTTCCGGCCATTAACATGCCAGAGTTAGGGGTATTTTCGTCTTTTGATTTATTTTAAATTTTTATTAAAATTTAAATCATTAAAAATATTTTAAAAATCAGATTTCATTATTTAATTATTAAATATTATTTATTAATTAAAAATATTATTATAAAATTTCAAAATTTACATTATTTTCAAAATTAATTTTTTCATTTATCATTTACCTTAGGTACAAAGTAAATAGTAATTATGTCGCACTTTTAACTTTGGGCCCACTGTAACTTAAAAATTTACCGAGTTACAGTAAATAATTCAAAATTCAATTTTTTTTCTTTAAAAAGAAAAAGAAAAAGCAAAATTAAGATTTTTTTACTTTGACCACTACAGTAACCCCTAAATGGCAATTATATTACACTTTTAACCTTGAGCCTACTATAACTTAAAAAATTTACTGAATTACAGCAAATAATTCAAAATTCAAATTTAAAAAAAAAAAAGCAAAACCAAGATTTTTTTTTTTTTACTTTGACCGCTACAATAAATCCTAAATGGTAGTAATTACGTTACACTTTAATTTTAACCTTGGACCCACTATGACTTAAACAATTTACCGAGTTACAGTAAATATTTCAAAAAATTAAATTTGAATTTTGAATTTTGAATATTGAATTATTTAATGTAATTTAGTAAATGTTTTAAGTTATATTGGGCCCAAGGTTAAAAGTACAAAATAGTTACTATTTAGGGTTTAATGTAGCAGCCAAAGAAAAAAATTCGGGTTTTGGTGTTTCTTTTTTTGTAAAAAAAATTAAATTTTGAATTATTTACTGTAATTCAGTAAATGTTTTAAGTTACATTGTGTCCAGGTTAAAATTACAATATAGTTACTATTTACGGTTTACTGTAGCGGTCAAAGTAAAAAAAATAAAAAATCTTGGTTTTGCTTTTTGTTTTTTTTTTTTTTGAATTTTGAATTATTTACTGTAATTTGGTAAATTTTTTAAGTTACAGTGGGATCAAAGTTAAAAATACAACATAATTACCATTTAGAGTTTACTGTAGTCGGTCAAAGTAAAAAAAAATCTTGCTTTTGCTTTTTCTTTTTTTTTAAAAAAAATTAATTTTTGAATTATTTATAAATCGATAAATTTTTTAAGTTACATTGTGTCAAAGTTAAAAGTGTGACATTATTACCATTTAGGGTTTAATGTAGCGGCAATCAAGTACAAAAATCATGGTTTCGCTTTTTTCTATTTTTAAAAAAAATATTTGAATTCTGAATTATTTACTGTAACTCGGTAAATTTTTTAAGTTACAGGGGCCGGCCCAAAATTAAAAGTATAACATACTTACTATTTATTGTGTACCCAAGGTAAATAGTAAATGATAAAAGTAATTTTGAAAATAATAATAAATCTTAAAAAAATTTATAAAAACATTTTTAGTTAATAAATAATATTTTAACAATTAAAAATGAAGTCTGAATTTTAAAATTTTATTGTAATTTAAATTTTAATAGAAATTCAAATTAAATTAAAAGATGAAAATACCCCTGATTCCGGCATGTCAACGGCCGGAAACAGTGAAATGGGACAAAAAAAGTTTGAAAAAATAATGTTTGGGACTACGATATTGAAATGTTAATGTTAGAAACGTAAATTCAAGTAGGCTCATATGTAAACGACCATTTGGACATTTTAGTCTTCTAGAAATATCACAAACCTGATCCTTCAAAATATTCAAGTCCAGATTCTTTCCAGTTCCAGAGCCCACGATTCGGTTTTCTAGAACAGAAACAGACTGATACAGATTGGTGGTACAAAGCTCAAATGTATCTAAAATGCTTATCCACATTTTCTGCCCCTGGAGCAGCCTTCTGATGTGGAGATATTGTGACAAGATTATGAACTTTTTTTGGATATATACTCCGTTTTCTCCACTTTTGCCTGGAAAGAAACAAAGAGTAATAATCACTATCGTAAACCATTTCATTCCTGAACTGGGACTTATAGAGAAAAATGAGAGTAGTCAATAGTACAACTCAATTCAAGATTTATGAGACTCCTACCTGCAAGCAAATGTGTCCAACCTCTGAATCCAACAATGCCAATAATATCTCCGCATTTAACACTAGAGTCAGTGAAATGCTGTAAACTCTTTCAACTCCAAATCTGACTTGCTGCACAAATGATTACGTGTTAGGAAAACACATATAAGTTATTGTTCCTTTATCTACAAAGGCATGCTACAAGTGCATAAACAGTAAAATTCCTCCTTCAGTGTTCTCTTTTTTTCTAAAGAATCATCTTCTCTTAAATAGCTTACAGTTGTTTCAGTATTTACTCTTTCGACAACTCAAATTTTGAGTCACGAACTGAACAGGATAGATATAGAAGTTACTAAGATTCACCTTGGAAAAAGCTTAAAAGTAAGAATTAGCTCTAATTTTAGTGAAAGACATTTACTCTTCTTTTCAAGCCTTCAAATCCTTTTGACATCTCCAATAATTTTAAGGTCCAAATACTTGAACCCTAACAATTTTACAGTGGCCAGTCCTGTGTCAGAATAAAGCAAAGTGCTGTGCTAGATTCACAGCAACATCGATTTTGCCACATAGTATTAAGATATGGTTCGTCTAAAACATTGTGTAACACGAAGGTAAGATATAATCAACTAAGCCAAAACTGTATACTGATGAATATTTATTAAAAATGGGTCAATGGTTATCATCTCAAGCTTTTTTATTTTGTCGAGTATAAAACTAAAGATTGGCGAGATGAACAGTAGCTAAGACACAACAGAAATGGCAACAATTCTAACAAAAAAAACAATCAGTAGAAAGTAGATATTATGAATCAATACTCGTTTCTATTTGACTGGGAGATTTTTACAGAATCTATGTTAATTGCAGCCACCTGTGGGTTGATGGTTAAATTTGCTGAGGACATTGACGGAATGAATATTTATAGAACAAAAGATTGTTAAAACTGTCATCTGTAAATACCTTGTATCAGTCACAACTTGAACTTTTGCCCCACCACACCATGCAAAACATAAAAGACAAGCTTCTTCCCTCGTGTTCGTTTGATTATAATTCAACCTGTCAAGAGAGCATAAATCATTAGTAAGAAGACATCAACGACGGGCTAATGCTGCAAGAGCACTATTTATGTTCCAAGTACCAGTCAAAGATACTGCAACACCTTCAAGATGATCCCCGGTTTCCAAACGCACACATATTATGGAATTGTCATTGAAGTTTGAACTTGCCAGCTTCCTTCCGCGCTGCCAGTGTTTTAAGCCTATTTTCGTAGTATTGCCGCAAATTCAAAAAGTTCACTCATTCTCGAATACTAAAGCAACTCACTGCAAACCAAGGGATTAACTAACAGAAAAGAATGAATACCGCGGCATCCATTCCTCATCATCTCAAGCTTGTTGCTGCTAAGCACGTGTGTTCGTCTTTGTAGGAGCCTCAAACAGTTTTAATAAGTTCAATTGGTGTTCCAAAAGACGCAGCAGGCAAAATTTATAAGACAACCCACTCTAATCAACAACTCGAAACCTATATAAAGCTTGAAAGATCTACAGACGCCGAAATCTAATACACTTTACAATTTACTGAAAGGAAAAACAAAATCTTAAAAGATGTTATCTATACATGCTGGGTAACACTGGTATAACTAAGTCAATTTATGCAAACGTAACAACAATTTCAATGAAGAAGAGAAGAGGATTTAATCACAAGCGAAACAAAACCTCCTAGCTGCCAAATATTAAAATTATCACAATCCTAAAACTAGTACCTGCGACCTGGAAAACCAAGAGGAAAGCAGAAAAAAGTTCAGTTCTGACATAGGAGAACCACGAACCTTGTTAGCTTGTCTGCCATTGTATATACCCAAGCGAGAAAAGTTCTTTCTAACAACAAACATTATTGACCAAATTGTTTACAGTCGAAGGTATACAGTCAGAAAAAAAAAAAAAACAGTAGTATCAGTTGGAGAAACGACTTCGAGATGCTTTAGAAAAGGCAAGGAAAACCAACTGGGCTTGGCACAAGTGGTAAGTAGCTTGATGCCGCTTAAGTAAGGTCTCGGATTCGAAATCTTGTGGATGCAAAAAACTCTTGTTGGGAGACTTACCCACCACAGCTAGGTGTACGACTCGGGTCGACCAACGTATTAGTGGGGGCAAAGTTCCGAAAATCGTGGTAGGCAACAAAAAAAAAAAAAAAAGAAAAGAAAAGAAAAGGCAAGGAAAGCGCATTTGTAGAATTCCAAAACCAAACATTGTCTGGCTCAAGCCAGAAGCGGTAACCAAACATAAACATTTTCCAAACTTTTTAGTTTTTTCTTATTTCTTCACCTTCCCCCATCATCATCTTCATCTTCATATCAATCACCTCCATTTTTTTCTTATTTATTTCCCGCAACTGGACTGATGGGAATGACGTGAGCAAACCGGCAGCCACGGAATCCTGTTACTATTATCTCACCCCTTTCATCCTTCCCCTAGCATGTCCAATTCGGACTCTTCATTCTGAATCATTTTCGGGTGCAAAATGAAGGATATTAAACGGCCATCTTGTTAAACCTCGTTGTTACTTGTACCCTCAAGAAACGGGAATGTGATGAGCGCGAATGAAGAAAGGGAGTTTCATCATGCCTTCTGATTATGTTTGGAGTACTGGGGACTAGGGATGTATGTGTCTTTTGCCCAAAGAAAAACAAAAAACTCAAAAGGAAATACGCTCAAAATTTTAGATCAAAGAATCTGCTAAAAGAAGATTTGCAAGCCAAAATAAAGATCATATAATAGGCAAGTTAGGTATACAATAAATGGAAGTTGAATATATTTGAAGCCTAACTTAAGAAATTCAAAGCAAGGTGTTGTAAAGTTGTTTTGGTTGCTGCTGTTCCCAGCTTCCCTATGATCCACCGGCATTGGAGTTGCTGGACACGGCATCTTTGTTCAAGGATAATTCAGAAAGTTTCTTCGCAGCTGGTTCATCCTGTGGTTTCATAGCTGGAAACAACAACACCTCCTTAATGTTCTGCGAATCTGTTAAAAGCATAGCAAGGCGGTCAATGCCGAGTCCCCAGCCACCAGTTGGGGGTAAACCATACTCGAGGGCTGTGCAAAATGTTTCATCCAACGCCATTGCCTCGTCATCACCAGATTGGCGATCCTGGAACATATTGGGCAGTGATTAGGACAAGAGACACGACAAAAACAGTTACAGATGAAACTAATAAGAAACCAGCTGCTCGTATCTATATTACCTTCAGTTGGTCTGCAAATCGCTGTCGTTGCACAACAGGATCATTCAATTCAGTATAAGCGTTACAGAGCTGTAAAATTAGAAAGTATTCAATTACATCTTGTTTGTTTTAAACAAAGAGGATGGTAAGAAACACTCACAAAAAAAATGCTGCTTAAAATCAATATTGAGGAGTCAGATCTACCACTTACCTCATGCTTGTTAACAAATAACTCAAACCGCTCTGTCAGCCCTGGTATTGACCGATGCCACTTCGCCAATGGACTCATAATCTCTGGATGGTTAATTATGAAAGCAGGGTTCACACAGGTCTCCTCAAGAAAGTGCCCAACAAGCTGCATGAAAATATGTTGGATGAGAATGGTGAGGTCGACAACACATGTTTTCGGGGACTGAGACATAAGCACAAATGGGCGTGCGCGCACACACACACAGAGCAAAACACAGCAGATGGAGAAAAGGATCTACAACTATTCCTACAGTAAGAGAACTTTGAAAAGCTTTCATTTTGAAACATGAATGTAAACAAGCCTTTACAAAACATGATGTTTTCTGATAGTAAGAGACAAAAAGGTGTCTTAGTTCATCTACCATGAGCAAGAAGAAACTTGCATTTCGCTTGGTATAGCTTACCAACATTGAATCACACAACAAAAGTTCAAACAGACATAGGCAATATATAACAGGTGCTACATTTCAAAGCAATAATTTCTTAATAAGCAACGGGACACAATGTGCAGAAATTTTCTTTGGCATGAATACTGAACCTACCTTATCCAGTAATCTAGTTGTTGTTTGTGGAGGAGGACATTTGATATCAAACTTTGCACATGCATCTACCAGGTATTTGTTAGCTTCATCACTAGACAGATCTTTGGGTATGTTTAAATTCGTCATCTTCTCCAGCTCAGATATCATATCAATCCTCCTGCAGAACAGAAAACAGATGGAAGAAATTATAGACTGTCGGCACAAGTAGTCTCCAAAAGATAAATAAATAACTGAAGAGACCTGAAGGGTGGGGTAAAATCAATTTCAATGGGATCATTTCCCTGGCCATTTGCATGATATAGTATTTTGTAACCACCAGTGAGCTCTTTGACCATCCCTACGGACATTAAAATTTCAAAGGCAATAACATTCTAATCAGAAAAATGTCATGAAATTTATATAACTAGAAAAGAAAATTTTATGTTCATAAGAAGCAGCTCACCGCTCAGCATTTTTTCTGTAAGCTCCATCAAGTCATTGTAGTCCGCATAAGCCATATAAAATTCACATGTAGTAAACTCAGGGTTATGCGTCAAGTCAATTCCCTCATTCCTGAACTGCTTCCCTATCTCATAAACACGATCCAGGCCACCAACAACAAGTTGCTTAAGATATAGTTCAGGTGCAATGCGCATAAAAAGCCTCATGTTCAATTCATTATGATGAGTGACAAATGGACGTGCTGCTGCTCCTCCAGCAATCATGTTCATCATGGGAGTTTCAACCTTGGGTAACAAACAAAGTGCGCAAAATCAAAATAAAACAATGGAACCATGAAAAGAATTTAACAAGATACTGGGACTAGGCAGAGAATTTACCTCCAAGAAATCAAGATTATCCAGGAAACTCCGAATATAAGTGATTATTTTGGCTCGGGTCTTAAATATTCCACGAACTTCTGAATTCAACATTAAATCCAAATAACGTTGTCTGTATCGTGTTTCCTATCAAGGAAGAATAGAGATTTAATTATAAAAATTGAGCCAAATGATTCTCAGACTTTGAAAAGATCCCAAAAATATCACAAACCTGATCCTTCAAAATATATGAGTCAAGATTTCTTCCAGTTCCAGGAGTCCACAGTTCAGTTTTCTGGGAAGAAGAGAAAAAAAAATATAAAAAATAAAATAAAATAAAAAAACACCAAAGATTGATAAGAAACACAACTGGTGGTACATAGCTTAATGGATCTAAAATGCTTACCTTAGAATTGTCTGCCCCTGGAGCTGCCTTTTGCCGTGGCATCATGTGTAGACAGTGGGATAAAACTATGAACTTTTTGGGGAAAATACTCAATTCTCCCCTCTTACTTTTGCCTGGAAAAAGAGTCATAATCAATACAGTAAACTATCTCATTCCTAAACTGGGACATGCAAAAAAAAATAACAGAAGTCACTAGCACAAGCAATTAGAGAATTATGAGGCTACACCCAGCAAGTAAAGGAGTAACCAACCTGGGAATCCAACAATGCCAATAATATCTCCACGTTTGACACTAGAGTGAAATGCAGTAAATTCTTCCAACTCCAGATCCGATTTGCTGCAGAAACAATTAGACATTAGGAAGACTCGTATCTTATGTAATTTACAATTAGCTTTATACATCATAGTTCCTTCATCAATGAAGGACTGCTACAAGTGGATAAAAAGTAAAATGCCTCTTTCGATGCTAAAGAATCATCTTCAAACAAATTGCATACAGTTGTTCAAGCATTTATTTTTAAAGATGAAATAGCAATGCATATTTTCAAGTCACGATTTGTACATGATAGATTTAGTTAGTTAGATCGCCTACGGAAAAGATGTAGGTCGGAATTAACTCTAATTTTAGTGAGACAAACTGATTCTTATTTTCAAGCCGGTCCTTCAAATCCTTTTGACATCTACAATAACTTTACAGTCTAGACACTCAAACTACCCCCACCGTAGTGATTTACAGAGCCTAATCCCATCTTTGGGTAAAGGAAAAGACTATAAGATCCACACTCATAAAGTTTTCACACATTTTATGATACGGTTCATCCCAAAAAGTGTTTTACGTGATGGCAAGAAATAATCCATTTAGCCAAAACCACATAGTGACGGATGGATATCAATAACAGGCAATGAATTACTGCTCAAAATTTCACTTCCTTCTGTATCAAAATTCAATAATTGGAGTAATATGAACCACAGAAGCAACAGAAATGGGCAATTGCATAAGACAGCATCCATTCAAATTTGACTAGGAGATAAATAATCTGCATAGGCTTTCAATACGTTACTTGTAGCCACTTATGAATTAATGCTTAAATTTGATGAGTACATGAAAGGTAAAATATTTATTATACTATTTAAAATAGTTCAAACTTTGTCAGCTATGAATAGGCAATAGTATCAATGTAAGTGCAGATACCTTGCATCAGTCATAACTTGGACTTTTGCACCACCACCATGTAAATCATAAAAGACAAGCTTCTTCCCTGAAGTTCGTTTGGTCATAATTCGACCTGTCCAAAGAATATTAAAAAAAAAATTAGTAAGAGAACAATAGTAGGATATAACTGCAAAACCATTAATTTATGCTCCAAATACCAGTTAAATACACATCAACATCTTCAAGATGATCCCCACTTTCCAAGCTCGCATACTTGTTCACATATTCAGGAATTGTCATTGTTGTTTGAAACTTGTGGGGGTATGGGTTCTTGCCAGCTTCCTTCTGGGAAGCAAGTGCTTTGAGCCTATTTTCGTAGTATTGCTGCAAAACCAAAATATTACTCATTCTCAAATTCTAAAGCAACTCACTTCAAAGCAAAGGCATGATCAAAAAACAGGCATTGATACCGTAGGATCCAATTCCTCATCCTCTCCAGCATGCTGCTGCTGAGCACGTGCACTCGTCTTTGCAGAAGGGGTCTTCCCAGGAGCCTGAAACAGTTTCAATAGTTTCAGTTGCCAAAAGATGCAGCAGGCAAAATTCAGGCCACACCAAACTAGAATTTCCATTCTCTATTCAACAACTCAAAACCCATACAAAGCATGAACAATAAATCCATGTTTGTTGAAATCGAATACTTCACTAGTTACTGGAAAGAAACAAATCTCTTAAAAATGCTTTTGAAACAACACCAGGGTAACACACATAAAATTTAAGGTAAATACACATGAATAAAAATCTTAATAAAAGAGAAAAGAAAATGGATACCGGTAAAACGAAAGCTATAGCTACAGATACTCAACAAAAGTCGAATACTAATTTTGGAATGAGAACAGTCCTAAAACTACAAACGTAGAAAAAAGAGAGGAAAGCCAAAAAAATTAGCTAAGACCAAAGGGAGCACGGCGAACCTTGTTAGCCTTTTCCGACATTGTATAGCCAAACAAGAAAACTTCTGCAGTAACAAAACCAGGAAAGCAAAGTGAGACTTACAATCGGATTATCTTACGACAAACATAACTGACCAAATTGTTTACAATGGAAGGTCTACCGTAAAAGAGGATAGTATTATCAGTTGGAGAAACTACCTTGAAATAAGGTGGAAAATCAGGGCGGCGGCGGAGGAGGAGGAGGCAGCGGCGGCGGCCGTGACAGTGTGCGAGCGAATGAAAAAACTGGAGCAGACAAAAGGGTTTTAGAATGGAGCCTGTTTGGCTTTGGTCGGGAGTTTTGTTAATGTTTGTATAATTTATACTTTCCTCCCAAAGTTTTACCTTTATATCAGTTGGGTTCCAAAAGTATTTTATGTACATGTAATTTGATTTTCTATGGTTTTTTCTTTTTTTAATCCAAACAGTTAACATAACATGAAGGCTCATGATATTGCCAAAACAAAAAATAGCATCCACAACAAAAAAAATTTCTAGTACCAAAATGCCCACATTAATTTAATTGTCAAATTTTCCTTTGATGCTTATCCAGATTTCTTTTTCCCTTTTCTATTATCATTTCCTTTTTCATCTCATCTCATCACATCTCTCATAAACGTTCCTTTATTTCTAGTTGCTCATTTCTTGAACCTTTTTCTTCTTTTGCAAAAATGTTCTTCATGAAAATGACATGCACAATTACTGGAATAATGCTAAAATTTATTTTTATCCTTCAGTAATTTTGATTTAGATAAATGTGTTTCAATTGCTCGCAGACAATCAATAAAATTGCATAAACGTATTTGATTTTATAACACAAAGTAAATATTTTTTTTTTAGAATGAAAAAAAAAATCATGTTGATCTTTGGAGGAGATTACTTTTTTGCTCTCGTATCGAGTTTTAAATGATGTTAAAAGTAACTTAGAAGTATGGACTACATATTGTGATTCTTTTGGAATTTTATCTTATTAGTAATATATAAAAAAAAAATTGGGAGAAATGAACTCTGAAAATGTTGTGTTCAACTTCACGCCCGTGCTAAGATGGGATAAGTGAGAAATTAATTTACTGGCTAAAAATTCGGTTGCCTCGTTTAGTTCTTTTGTGAAAAAAAAAAAAGAAATTTCTTGTTTAATATGTAGTAATTCATAGGGAAGTTATAAATACGAAATAGGTTTAATTAATGAGGGTATTTTGGTAAAAATTGTTTTGGATGCTATTTTTTGTTTTGGCAGAATCATTTGCCTAACATGAAATGCAAAATCTCCCAGGATCTTTGATATCAACTCTCGTCAAACAAACCACATTGGAGATATTAGAGCCAAATCTATAATAATGTAGTGATTATCATGACTTATAATGATCATTGATGGCCTATTGATTTTCACATCTTTAGAAGTATTAGAGCCATATAAATCTATAATGATGTAGTGATTATCATGACTTAGAATAATGTTTGATGACCTGTAGGATTTCACATCAGAAATGTAAAATTATAATCTACGAAGGGCACATTGCCTCAAAAAAAATTAAAGAAATTCTCAATAACTATTCTCTGTGCGTGTTGGGGGAGGGGGGGAGGGGGAAGTTCTAGAGTCCCGTTGTATTTTTTGTCTGAACTGTTCCATTGAAATTTAACCAATTAGAATATAGGAAAATTCTAGACTCCCGTTGTGCTTTTTGACTGAATCGTCCCATTGAAATTTAACCAATCAGAATTGAGGGCATAACATATGTTCATGGGGTGAGAAACATGGTAACATATCCCAAAATAATTTTTAAATGAAAAAATAATTATCATCTGCTGCAATTAACTTTTCTTTCCAATCTTTTATATTTATCATGCCGGAGCTTTAGAAAATCAATCTTTTCTTTAATTACTAGGTGTCGGGGACCGCACAGGGTGCGGTCGAACCCGGTGAACCTGAGACTGCCCGAATTATGTGAAATCACGAAAGTAAAATGTTTAATGGATTATTGTTAATAAACTGGAAAAAAAATTAAATTGCTATTTAGAATGGAGACACAATGTAATACAAAACACATTAGTTTACAATTTACACCAAAGAACTGTAGATCAAAATTTACAAGAACAAAACCATCTTCTAATCAAATGTAATTTATTGCATTTTATAGCCTCCTCTGTGAGCAAGATAGTTGTTACTCTTTATCTTCTTCTGTAACTCATTTCTTCATACTGTTAAGTTTTCCTCAAATAATTGAGTTTTGCCTAGATGTCTAGCGCAAGAATCGTATAAATGTACTTTTGGACCTCGATGTTACCCTTGTGAACGTCCCTCTCAATTCATTAGTTAAAACCTACAATTGATTATGTAAATTGCAGGAAATTAAGTAACGAAGTTGGTCAAAGCAATAAAAACAGCTATAGGGATGAAGAGGATGATTTTAGAATCTTATATAAGTTCAGCATTGTAAGTTCAATCGCTAAGATATTAATTGAAATACAATTAATTCGACATCCCATCTCTTGAGTTTTTATGTTTCGATTATCATATCTTGAAACATAATGAACATCTACGTACAATGGATAAAACAACGAGATGCCCTATTTGAGTATTTGATACTTCTCTTCAACAAACTTTTCAAGACACATCAACTAATGCCACTGGCGCAGACCAGTTATCCAGTTTGCCATCAGGAACCAACACAAATTTTCCCATTTGACAAACATTGTTGCATTATTTCCATTTTTTTTTGGTTAGAGCATTATTTCCATTTTACATTAAGAACAAACCCTAAATGCGATTGAGATTTGGGCTAATGTACAAAATCCAATTTCCCTTGTCCTCATAAGTCACAATGATGGTAAACATAAATGGAGCAATTGCAAGGACACAAAAAGTTCATACAAACAGAGAGGGGCTACCTAAAAATCTATAAGAAGAGAACTCATTTGGGCTACTGACAAGCTATTTCTCTCAGGACAAAAAAAAAACACTTACCTACAATCCAAAATTGTACAACTATGAAAAAGAAAACTTCTTAAGGGAAATAAAGATTCAAATCTAGAAAATGATGAAGATTAGAGTTCTATTAAGCAGATAAACAAATTGAATTGTTAATGAATAATCCTAACCATACCCGACTTTACCATGCTTCCTTCTTCGCCCGATTCAATAAACCTCAAATCAAGAAAAAATAGAAAATAAATAGGGATCAATTTCAATGGCTGGTTTGAATCAGTAAAATTTTGACTGCCGCTTGATTGTCATAGAGATAATTTGAAAGGCTTCTCAGTAAAAAAAACTCCGGAAAATAGCTGAAAACTGATGTACAGTTGAAGATAGAGACAACGAGGGAAGCAGTGGTGTGAAAGGGCGAAAGGGAAAAAAATAAGCGACCTGGCGGTGGAAGGAGTGCTGGTGAATTTTGAAAAGACAACAATTACCGGATGGGATTTAGTGCCGGTCAACGACAAAGAGAAAAAGGGCAAAAAATGTGACCGGCCACCCATAAAAAACGAAGCCACAAAAGGTGGATCCGGCCTTAGTATTAGTTAGATACTCATTGAAGTTTTTTCACGATAATAGTTCTGCACTACAACCTTTTTTTTTAATCATTCTTGCTCCTTTTTAACCTTGTGCAAATAAAATATTTATTTTTGGTACCATAATACCCAGGAAAAAAAAAACACCACCTCTCCACATGTGCATGTACAAATTAAGATACCGTTCAAAAGAGTAATTAATTAAAAAAGATTACTATTTCATATTAAAATCAACATGTTTGGTTAAACGGGAAATAATAATTTTATTTTTGCAAGATGTAATTGAAAAGATATACTTTTATAGATTCAAAAATTTGATAAACAATCATAGTGTTTCATTACGTAATATATGAAAAGTGTCACTGCATAATTTAAGGTTCTTTATGGTCAAAGTGCAAAATGAAAAATTAATGAACATGTAAAGATAATTTTGGTACAAATTGCATATTTTTTTCCATTCTGAACGGTTAAGCGCTCAACTGGCCATCTCCTAGAAAGTCAAGACACAAAAACTGAACAGTTCACGAGGTATATTTCTTTAAAATCCACCCTCTTTTTAATCATGTGATTATTAGTTGTTCCTATTGATCTATGTTAATTAATGTTTGACTGAACAGTTCAATCGTCTAGATTCTAGCTACTTATATATACTTGTCATTCAAACTTACAAGCACAAAAGATAGGGGAAGAAACTTTTATCCATGGAGAATAACATGTGAATCCCTGAAATTAATTCCATTAAATCACTTCTATTTTTTTCCTTCCAAAGAATCACCAAAAACCCCTAAACAAGATCAACTTCATCTATAATAGGTTCTATTGCTAAATCGGTAAAGTTAAACACTCTCATGTTGAACTTTAAAAGAGGGCATGACAGAACTTCAGTAACAAAAAAAACAAAAATCAAAGTTTAACTATAAAGCACCTCCTTTTAGGACATAAATCCTTCTATTAGATAATAGAATAAAATGAGATAACTCAGAAAATATTTATTCAAAAAATTATTCACACAATATGTCAAGCTCTCACATAAGATACCTACTAGTCTTTTGGTGTCGCGCGTTGCGCGACCAGTCTTTACTAATACCTGTGTAATATAAATCACAATTAAGAATATTTAGAAAAACATATTTCTCTGTTGGACTTAGTAATGTGTACTCGGAGAATATTAAATGTTATAAATATTTCGTTTATGTTTATAACAAAAAAGAAACATTAATGTTCATGTTTAATATGATGGAAATTAAACTAAAAAAAATGTATTTGAGATATGCAGAGGAAAAAAAAGATATAAATTGAGTGTCAAACTGACCTCATGTCGGTCGCTTATTTGTTTGATCGGCGTAACTTCAGTGTTGTTGTTCTCAGGTACTTCATGCCACTCTTTTTGAGGGTTATCAGCAATGGCATCACAAAAAAACCGCCGTCCTCAATTAAATTGTTGACGTAGTAATCTCGAAGCCCCCTGTACATTCTTTTTTATCCTCTCCAGC